GATCAAAAACATTCTGAGCATTCATTATAAAATACTAACCAATTAAAGATGTGCTGATACGTTATATCAAAGTTTATTTTCTACTTTTTTAAATTCATTTTGATTGCTAGGGTGGATGTGGGTGTGATGCCAAGAACATTGGCACTCATACCCACAGCAGCCACACCACCTACAGGGAGACTCACACCTACCCTCACCCACATCACACACAAAAAATTGTATCGAATCATGTATGTTTAAGTAAAACCTATTTCTGATAGAAAATCGACCTGTGGTCCCTCTCAAGTGCATGTTCTGAAAATGTCTTCCCTAGTCCTCTAGGGTGAGTTTTTGCGCAGGAAAAAAGATTCATTGAACCTATATGATTCGATGCAATTTTTGCTACTGATTTCGAAAATGTTATCTATTTTGCCTTTTAACAGCATTATGATAATAAAAACCACTAAATACTAACAGATTTTTCGTCCTTTCGCCCCATGTTACCAGCAAGAGTGAGAAAAATTCAATTTTCTCAACAATTAAACAAAATTTTAAAAAACTAATTAGTAACCGTTGTAGCATATGACCCGACGATTCTAATAAGATAAGACAGTTGTTTCTATCCTTTATTGAGAAAAAATAGATTGGTTTACAAGAATGCTCACTGATACATACTTGTAGCCTGATGGACATATTTATAGCGGATAGGATTGTTTTAGCTCTATTTGCTTTACATCTAGTAAATTTACATTTTTCTAATCAGTTTTTCGTGCTGATTGAGAATATCATATTTTGAAAAAGTTTCGAAAATAACTGGAATAAACATTTAACAATTTCTATAGAAAAAAAAACAAATTCAGCTTAAAAATTCTATTTTTTTAGTCATTCTAGTTTTCTAAAGATTTCTTGGTCAAACAAAGATCGAAACGAAATAGAAATTATATATTCGTGGTCAGGTTGTCAAGTCCTATCAAACCATATATAAATGAACGAGAAACAAAAGTCACTCCAATTTTGTATTTCCGACACCTTACATAATAACGTGTTCCGCTCAGGCACACTATTGTTTATCTTCGTGTGCATTTCTTTCGTCTTTCATGATCTTTATCTGATCATGTCTCTCTCTTTCTCTTCGCTTGAATGGTTCGCGCTGAAGTGAAACGGAATTATTAAAGGAAGAGACAGATTGGTATAGAGTTAGTTGATAACATGATATCTTATTTTGATCGTTACACCATCCCTACCCCACGACCACCCACACTCTAGTTTCATTGATATAGCAAGAAATCAATATTTTCTTTGTCCACAAAGGGATTTTCTTTGCTCGTCATATTGTCGATCGAATTTATGTCATCATTTATTCGTTTGATTATGAAGTTTAGTAATCTTCTATTTGATTTATTTTGAAATCAAATTAAAACAATCTTTTAGAAAAGTCTCATTGTTCATGAAAGTGCATTCAATCACAATAATCAATTTCGACTTGAACCCACACAGAGTTTTTGTACTCGATGATTGCCTTGATCAACGATATAAAGATTGCCTTCCCCATCGAGTGATAAGCCGTTGGGACCATTGAATTCATTTGGTTGTTCCCCTTTTCCATTTCCACCACCAACAATAAAACCATCTTTAGATTCTTTTGACCAGCGCATTATTCGATGATTCCGACAGTCATTCACATAGACACAACCCGATTGATCAACGATCATTCCTGCAGGGCGAGACAATTGCGTGAGACTGTTCCCTTCACCCTTTCCACCAGCAACTATTGTTCCTTCTTTAGCACCTTTCATCCATTTCATCACACGATGATTGTTCTCATCCGATACATAGATTGAATAATCTTGATCAACGAAGATATAAGTCGGACTATCCAACTGATTAAGATCATGTCCTTTTCCATTTCCACCTGCTATGACTGTTCCATCTCTCTGTCCTTTTTTCCATCGTTTCACTTCATTCTTCTCAGTATCGGAGACATACAGATCTCCATCATTATTCATTGCTAGATGAGAGCATCGAATGTTCGAGATGATTGTTAGTACATTTGTACTATTTCGAAGAGGCCATCGTACCACTCGTCTGTTTCCCCAGTCACAAACTATAAGAGAATCATTCTTCTTGTCAACAAGCACATCGGTTGGAAAACTCAATTGATCCATACGGTTTCCGTTTCCATTTCCACCCGCAACAACTTGACCATTCTTAGCATTACATTTCCATTCAACAATACGATGATTTCCCCAGTCAGCAACATAAATACTTTGATCATCGTCATCAAAATAGACACCATAAGGACAATTGAGTTGATTTAATCCGTTGCCCGCTCCATTTCCTGCAACAATAGTCGCATTATTTTTCATCTGTTTTTTCTTGTCATTGAAGAGAGCAGGTGGAATAGATTGTTCTAGAAAAAAAGGAATTCACAACAAAATGGAAAGAGCGACTTTTTTGAATATTTTTAAAAATTTTCCGATATAGAGAAATATAGAGAGATTCTGGGATCCAGTGAGAAGCAAGAGAAGTCGGTGAAGTTCACCGATATCCAACAAAAGTTGGAATTTGTAGGTATCATATGAAATGGGCTCAAAATTAAACCAAAACCAAAATTGCTTTTCTCCTTTTGATTTGCAATGAAATTAAATTTTAGTTAATGCTTTTTCTGAGTCAAATTGATCAAAATATGAAGAGAAAATTCTTCTTTTTTAAATGAATAAAGACCAATGATTGTTTATATAAAAATCAGAGTATCCAACAGATTCTTTCTGTACTTTTTGCTGAAAATATTCTTCATATAAAACAGAATTGAAATGATTGAAAGAGAATTTTGTTGATTTTTATTTTTAAAATGCTTTTTGAAAAAGAAAATGATCGTTTCACTTGTGCCCTCTGTTTCATGTTGAACGTAAGTCGAACTTCATAAAGATGAAACAATTTGTTTTCCAATTAAAAATGTTCTTTTAACGAAAAGACTTTTCTATTTTTTGTACTAATACTGAATTGAAATGACTACTGAAAATTAAGATGAAGAAAATATGTATTGTTTATTTTACATTTATGCTATTTATTGATTTTCTTTTGAATTAATTGAAAAATAGTCAATTGCTATTATGATAGTTTAAAAAATAAATCTGTTAATAATGATTTTGAAATTGGTGTATTTGTATTTCAATTTTCAATAGCATAAAATTGTTTCATGAAGAAAATTTCATTTGAAAAGAAACCATCTTTATTTTAAGTGAAATTGTGTTCATCATACAAAATATTTCTTATTCTATTTCAAGTTCATCTTCAAGAATAAAATATCTTCATTGCAAACAAATATTGGGAATATGATTTAGTATTTATTCGTTTAGATAATGGGGAAACAAAACGAATGTACTTTTTAAAATATTTAGTAATCTTTCCATGCATATTTACATGTGTGAATTCTTCAGATGAATGTTCTCGAATCAGAAAAATTTGCATAAAACACAGCTTTTTTCTACGATTAACATTGGATAGAGCTATTCTCCATTCGATACACATTAATGTTATGATTTAGAAAAACAAAGTAAGAAATAAGTATCAATGTTATCGTGAAAAGTGTATATAACAACAATAATAGGGAAAAACGAAATTCATATATGTACAAGAGGAAAATTCGACTTAATTTGTAGACTTTTTGAATTTGGAAGGACTTGGTGTGAGTGATGATGTCAATGCGCAGGAAGGGAGGCGGGACAGAGAGCCAATGCGAATGAGGAAGTGGAGGGTGGCGTGGGTCTGGGCCTAAGTTTTGTATAAAAAAAACAGATTTACACCCCCATACTCAGACACTCACAATCACACCCAAGCATCCACAGCCATCTATCCATCCTCGAAAACTTGCATTAATCACAAGCTTGGTCTGTTCGAAAATGCCACAATATTCCAAAAGTATCTCTCTCTTACTGCTTATCGCATTCATTGTCATATGTCATTCACGGGCGGTGAGCTAGAGCGCTTTATCGATTCTGTCTGTTCCTGAATATGAAGTAAGACAGGAGGAGTTGTATCACTTTTCTTGCTATATACTTCAACGCTCTTTAACAATCACGTCTCACCAAACTGTTTGATTTAGTGACGTACTCGATGTGCGCTGTTGTTCGCCATATATAACATCTATTCAAGGTCTCAGTCTCCAAAAGTTGCCTTCGATATGTACCCAAATTTTGACTTCTGACCACTACATGCGGGCTATTCCTGTTCGTTGTCCTATTGCAGAGACTCCTGCGCAAAAAAAGAGTCGTCTAACTGTTGATAGATATTATAGCGGATAGAATTGGTCAATTTTTGTGTCAAAATGTCAAGTGAAGTGAAGCAGACGCATCTTTAATCTCGTAGTCAATATGAAGTTCAATGTCTAATAGATGAACTTGGAAAAGAAAGTCTTACAGTCAAGTGTGTGTAAGAAATAAGCTGCCGATAGAACCTACGAATGCATACGACTGATGCAGAGGGAAATACCGGATTAGAGCATGATCGTACTAAACATCTGTAAGACGCATAATTCATTTGCTTGCTCTATCAAAGACCGCTATCTTCTCAACTCATAAGGCGAAAATGCAAGCGAAAAATTATTCAAATATGACAACTAAACGAAATTGTGTTGTATGCGACTATAACATTTTTGACCCAAAATCGATCAAATTTAGCTATCAGATTGTTGCCAAGCCTTCATCTTTCTCGGTCTCAGGACGAAGAGATTTCGAGTTTTGTTTTGAAAATTAGTTTTCGAGATTTACCAGTAGGAATCTCTATTGATCGCAATCCATAAGTTTTGAAACTATTATTGACTTAAAAAGCTTTCAGCGTAATATCTACGAGATTAAAATCTAAAATACGATGCATCACATTTTGTTGTATATCAAGACCCTTGATTTCTTAATTGATATTTGCCGGAAGGTCACAGGACCATCATATGGAACTTAGCGTTCAAAACTTGAACGTGTCAAACATTTCTGTTATGGTCTGTGATGAATTCTGAAACCATTAAATCGAATTCTTTGTCAGAGTCTAGCAGAGACACACCTGGATCGATGAGGGTAACTTTTCTCATTATATACTTCAAAACTTATTAACAAACGGGTTTCACAAGAGACGTACTCTGACATGTCGGTCACATGTCTGGCGATATCTGTGACAGGAAAAATGTTCATTGGTGTCTATCGCGTGGCGGTAGGGGGGCGTGTGGGTGCCGGCGGGGGGGCGGGGGGGGGGGGGGGTGGGGGGGCGGGGTCATACGTCTAGCTATATGCTACAACACTCATTAACAATCGTGTTTCGCAATAGGCTATGCTTGGTGAGTGTTAGATAGCTTCTCTGACTTCGATGCTCTCTTGAACAGTGCACTGTAGGACAAAACGGTATTGGCACGATAAGTGGATTAATAGTTGTGCTGTGGTTGCCCGGTCTCTTATCAAAACAGCGCTATTTCTGGGCCGGTTCTGAGCGTTTATATTCCTTAGACAAGCTGTTGTAGCATAAAGACAGAACATCTATCTACTTAAATACGGATGCTTTTTCAGTTGGTCAGTTAATGATATCTTAGCTATGAATCAAAGAGAAAATTTATGGTTTCCATGAATGACACCGATGCTCAAAAATCAAGCTACGAAAGCTTCGCCACCAATTCTTTTAAAATCTTTTAAATTTGTTATTTCAAAATTGTTAGTTCTTTAGTCAGTCAAATATGTTCAATGGTATTCTGTCTGCAGTAAAATGAATCTCCATTTGATAAACGTTACTTCTTTTCTTCAAATTTTAGATAATTGCATTTGAGTCTAATACAGGCGAATGCAGTCCTAACTTCTCGACTTGAAATTGTTATTGTTTCTAATTGATTTCTTATTATTAAGTTTCAAAATACTCGACTTTTGAATTGTAGCATATCTTGTGATTTCTGTCAGGGATGTACCTTTTGATAGTCTTATCAGTCTCTCAAATCGCATCACATTTCATCATTGTTCAATGCAGGAATGAGTGAATCTGCATCTGATGAATGTTACTCTGGATTTTCAGATTTGAATGGACTTGAAATCCGAAACCGAGAATATCCATAATCATTCAGTCTAGGACTAAGTGAATCTGCCTTCGATGCACTTTCCTTGTGAGTTTTACACTACTGATAAAATTTAAATAGAGGTAATCTAATCTTTCTATCGATTTGATTTTAATCGTAGTAATTGCTTGATAAGCATAAAACAGAATTTTAAAATAGAATTGATTCACTTTTTTCACGAATTTCCCTATTCTTAGTTTTTACAACATATTTACGTTCATGACATAATCATTTTTATGTGCGACACTCATTTAAAAATCATAGATTTTCCTCAATGAACTTACCACTGAAGCTCTTTATTTCATTAATATTGGAATTGGCAGGTAATTTATGTTCCTTTTTCAATGCAAGCGATTTTTTATGCCACTGGACACTTTTGTCATAGTTACCTGTCTGCGATGCTAGTTGGCCTAGATCTTCATACAAATTACTAAGTAAAGGATGATTCGATGGAAGTTCTTTCAATAGACGTTTAAAATATTTTTCAGCTAAATCAAATTTTCCCATTTGGCATAATACTTTTCCTAATGTTCGAAGATTTGTTTCTCCACCTTCAGTTTGTTGTTTCATATACATAAGAACTTGTTTTAAATCATGTTCATCATCACTACACAAAGTCATTTGAATGATACATACATTATTTTTATCACGATTAATACTTTTAAGACGAAAGATAGATCCAATCATAAAGAGTACTTCCGCTTCATCACTGAACTCACTATATTTACTAATATCAGCAAATGGTTTTGTTGTGACTATCTTGGGATCAGCATCGATTTCAAATAATATTCTTTCTAAATCATCTGAAGTATCAGAGAAATCGAGAAATGAAAGAGATTTCCAATAGTCAGTACTAGTGGAAAAGAATGAATTAATAGAAATAAATTGACCAAGAGATCGCTTCAAAGTTTCCAATTCATCACTTGACATTACTTGACTTCGATAAACTCTTAGAGAATGTTTAGCTTGATAATGTTGTAATTGCTGATGGAGATCAGAAATAAATGAACGAAATAAAAAGATTATGTGAATATTTTGGGTACGTAGAGCAGCATTCAGTGTTTTATAAAAGAACGATTCTCTAGTGTACCACCGTAATACTTTACTAGGTGAATAATCTTGTTGAAATTCATGAATATTACTCAACTCGATTTGATTGCCATCATATTCAGTTTTACAATAATTAATCAGCTCAGTTTTGTCTGTTTGAGTAGATTTTAGTCGTAGAATGCAATCAATAAGAACTTGAGAAAAAACAAATTGGCCATTAACTCCCGTTGTGGATTTGCCAGGATCGGCACTTGTAGTAAAAATATTGATGGAAAATGGTTCTTCGACTTTCTTTTGAATTTCATGATCAACTTTAATTCGCGAAACAAGTTCATCAAGTTCAACAACAACACCTTTCACCTAGTAAAAAAATCATATAAAATCAAAGTGAAATATTTCATCATAATGCAACCTTCGAAAATTTACAAGCCCACTGTTGATTGCTCTTTTTATCCATACAATAAATATAGATTGATATAACTTGTCGAAGTTTATGAATAGAAGGTATTATCTCTCGTCCGAGTCGACCACTAACAATGAATACTAAACGATCTTTTTGTGATTTTTGTTCAATAAATTTTTGACATTGTTTTACATCTTGAAACTTCTTCAGATGGTTGATAATTGAACGCAAGTTTTGTTCTGTATCTCGAGTTTCTTTAACATTTATATTGGCATCGAGCCAGACAAGACAGAAGAGTCCAAGATATTGATCATCGATCTTTGTATCGGAATATTCGTTTGATAGAGCAGCGGTAGCCATGTTAATGGAAGAGACTAAATTATATAGAGCTTTTAAATGTCATCCAATTGACCGAGTTATTGAATTAAAATGTGACTTCGATAGTCGAAAAATATGTTACACTCATACTTTTATTCTTCTATTTATCAGTATTCTGATTTTGGTTGTTGAAATTTTGATGCAAAATTAGGGATTGAGGTAAAGATTATGATTAACTCGTGAATAAAATAATTAACTTCTAGCTTGTTACACTATTTCTGCCTCAAATCTCGAAAAGAAGATACAGAGCTTTTGTACCGATAGAAATGATTTCTAACTGATTCGTTCAGTCAATTTTGGTGAGTATAAAGCAGGCGATATATGTCTAAGTTTTGTATTACTAGTTCGAATTTTGTTTCAATTCATTTGAGTTATATTCTTGTCCTGTCTCTTTCCAAAATCTTACAGCAAAATGAGTTGAATTCATCAAATCGATGGGTTTTTGTTTGTAGAAAAGAGTCCTCTGGTTTATAAATCGAGCAGTCTTCCGTATGATCGTCAAAGTTCTAGTATTTGATTGAGTTTTGTAGCTAAAACTCGAAGAAATTAGATGCTCAACTTTGCTACCAAATGTTATTGTCTTCGTTGATCTTCTTTGTCTATACATGTTTCGCCGAGCTAAGAGTTGTACTCTTCGTTTTATCAACACTATTTAACATCTTTGGACAAAATATTTCTCAAGAGGACGGAAGATCTATTTTATGGAACCAATTCTAATATCGAAAATCTCACAGAAAATATTGATCATTCTTATTTTCGGGAGAAAAATGAGAGAACAGAGCTTTCATATTCTGAGAAATATTGAACTGTATTTTGGTCGGAAATGAAACATATGTTTTTAAACCACGACGACGATCGGCATGTTCTCCTTTCTACTTCAACCCGACTTTGGCTTGTAACTACTGCTGCTAATTCAAGGAGAAGTGAATGAAAAGAAATGATTATTCATTCCTTAGGTATTTCATCGGACAGTCGGGGTCGAACTGGCACAATCGTCAATGACTGTATGCGAAGAAATACGACCATATACAGAGGAAACAACGAACGTTTATGGCCGCCATATATAGAACCTGTAGATAATCTCTGTTTTGTTCCGTATTTACTCGTATACGGTCACGGCGATCTACGGCCGTAATGCTGGGCCACTTAAACGCTAAAATACAACCGTGTACGGCATAGCTGCGCAAATACGAATACAAATTGTATCGCTTTTTTAGGCGGAACCCAATGGATAGGCCGATATACTCCGATACAACTCGTTACATGACGATACGTGAATTCTACAATTCACAATCTCTCGGGGTTACGTGGGCTGTTACATTGACTTGATGGATCGACACAACCCTATACAATCCGTTACATGCCGTTACATAGCGATACATGAACTCTAGAACTCTAGTTTTTTTCGGGGTACATCGGTCGTTACATTCACTCGATGTATCCATACAAACCATTACATGCCGATACATGGCGATACATGATTTCTAGAATTCTAGGTTTTTCCGGGGTCCATGTGTCGTTACATTCACTTGATGGATCAATACAAGCCGTTACAAGGTGATACAGGAGTTCTGCAACTCGTGTGGCACCATGTATGTGACCATCAAATCAATGTAACTACCCATGTAACCCTGAAATATCTAGAATTCTGGAATACGTGTATCGCCATGTAACAGCATGTAACGGCTTGTATCGGTCCATCAAGTTAATGTAACGATCCATGTACCTCGAAAAACCTAGAATTCTAGAATTCATGTATCGCCATGTAACGGCACGCATCGGTTTAAGCATTACGTTGATATCATGATCCCGTACACCGCGTTACATGGTGATATATAAATTCAAAAATTCTAGATTGATCGGAGGTACATGGGTCGTTACATTGACTCGATGGACCGATACAAGCCGTTACATGCCGTTACATAGCGATACATGAATTCTAGAATTCTAGGTTTTCCCGGGGTATATGAGTCTTTACATTGATACATTGTGGCGGCACAAGGCGTTACATGGCAATACACGAGTTGTAGAATTCATGTTTCACGTTGTGAGTGGTTGTATCGCCATGTATCGGGCTGTCGGTTGCATTGTGTTTAAAACAGCGATATAATTTGTGGCGCTATTTGCGCAGGCCTCGTGTACGGTCTTATACGGAGCTTAGATGGTCGTTTACAGCCGTATACAAAGTCTGTAATCGTCGACCGGGGGAATACAGAGTGCCGAAGCAGATAAACTTTTGAAAAAACGCGTTTAAACGCTCTGCAAGCAGAAATTTAACGAAAACAACGCGTCTCTTGCATTTTTCTAATGAGCGTTAATGGCTCACAATCGCGGTTCTCGATTAAGCGTTTAAACACGTTTTTCAAAAGTTTGTCTGCTTGAGTGGGAACAACTGCGACTCATTACTTGCCTGACAACTGGATCTTCTCTCATTTATAGTAGACAGAAGAAATTTTCCATAAAGGGTTGAATATTATCCATGGAATCATCAAATTTCGAGCGCATAGAAGAATATCTTGTAGATATGGTGCCCATTTGGAGAAAAACAGAAGAATGAAAGCCTTTTGGGTGAGAAAAATAAGCGGGAAATACTGCATCGAAAGCATATTTTGGCGAAACCGCATATTAGCGAAAACAAAATTCGCGAAAGTATAAACAGCAAAAACACTTGATGCTGAAAAACAAACTAGCGAACGTGTAAATTAGCCACAATCGAAAGAAAGTTATTTCGTCAAAAATTCTTAACAAACTAGAGTGGACTAGGATGGGTGTATACTTATGTGGTGCGTTGCCAGTGAGGCTGGATGGGTATGGATCTGCATTGAATAGCCGCATAACGACACCTTACTGACCCACTCCGTACGCCATTCACCCAGTCACCCACTCTAATTGTGGGTGTGGATCTGAACTCAAAATTCCCACTCTTATCTGTGACCCGACATTCTGAAATATGAGTGCGACTACGATAATAGAGTAGTAGGTTGTGTCATTGTGCAAGTATGAGAACGAATGCTTAAATCACGTGCTAGCTAACAAACAATACCCAGGAGGTTCATTTTAACAATAGAACCGACTCGCTTCCGACAGGAATCCGATCGGGTTTTATATGAATTTCCGTAAAACCGACGAAGTCCTATCGGATTCTGGGAAACAAATCGACATCTGGATCCGTAGTGTTGAAATCCGATGGGATCTTACTGTCGGAATTCGACACAATCCAACGACCTCCAGTGACTGACATCTAATATTGCCACCAGTTAGTAATCAGTACTTAATTAATTAAATAGGCTTCATCCGTCGGATTCGTTGGTAGATTCGCTTCCCAGAATATTATTGGATTTCATCGGCTGCTCGGATTCGACAAGCTCTGATAAGTTCCGGTGTCGGATTCATTCACCTGAGTAATCAATGACAGTGCTACGGTTTAATATATAGTTTGCTCCGGGGAAGAATGGATTTCAAATAGAAATGTTACAATGTGTTAGATGGAATGAAAATTTTCACTCTCAAATGAATTCACGCCAAGGTAGAAAGGCAAATCTGAAAAGTGATACGTGGAATTCACAAGTGTAAATGAGCAGAGACTAAAAGTGCTTAGATGAAACGCGGCAAAAATTGACGGCGTTCAAGGAATCATTAATATCTAGTGAATACGACCATACGTAGAATTGAAATGATTCATTTCATCGTCTTATGCCGCATGATCCTTCCAAACATTGTTTCATGGCTAATTCCTACTTGTTTCAAAATAAGAAAGATGTGCATCTTTCGGTGAAAGTAGTCATTACGACAACCTTCGAACGGGCTTCATGTTGCTTGAATCAGCAACAATGCCGCTTGCCGACATATTATGTAAACAACCTGGTAGTGAAGTATCACCCAAAAGCTTTTTTAACGATGGAAAGAAGAAGAAAAAAAAACACTTCATGCAGCTGCAAAAGTAAACTGTAGACAATGCTGCTGAGCCATTTTTTACGCGACAGAGCCACTCGCGTGTTCTCTATGGTAAAGCATATATAAAGTTGTTGACTAAGCAACTCATTGCTTTTCAAAACAAGAAAAACGAACGTTAAGGTGAGTCTGTGAAATGAAATAGATGTATAAAAAGCACTTAGACTTCTTACCAGTAGAATGTTTGCATATCTCTTCTGTATTTTAATCAAATAGCTCAGTATTGTTGCAGTGATAGAGCACAGATGAATATTTTTATTCATGAAAAAGTGTCGATATATACTGTTTTGAATCATCACAATCAGATTCAAAAAATAATGCAAAATTCCGATAGGTCTATAGAAGTTGTTGACACAATCTGCTCTAGACTCATATCTAAAATACCATGAAAAGCTTTATATTGTAAACAAAGATGATTATCTACATATCATTCGATTGGTGGTTTACTATTCATTATTAATTTGTGTTCGTAATGAAGGAAGATGGTCATTGTAATATATCACCAGAACTATGAAAACAGGAAGAGTAATAAGCATTTAATTCCTACTTTCATTCCCGCATATAATGACAAACACTAATATTCAGGAGGAAAGAAAAATTACGAAGAGTGTAGTTCAACTTTCTCGCAACAAGATGTAATTCTCATTCAGTATTAAGTCGCATTACATTTCTTTTCCACGACTGTATCCGTAGGATCTGCGCGGAAGTGTCTTCAGAGTGTGACTGTGAGTATGTAAGCGTGTAGTATGGGATGCGCGTTTCTACATCTATCTTCTCGACATTCCACCCACTCAATCCACACCCATCAATAAGCTTAAAATCTGGTTTAGTTCGACGTATCGAGCTGAAATTTTTACCAAACAGGTTTCTTACTAGCATTAGTCATCCATGAAAATTTCACCGTGAATGCATCTTGTTAATCGAAAAGAAAATTTTGAGGATGGCCTTAAGACGTATCTGGGACAATTCTATTGGATATTTTCGACCTGAGCTTGTCTTGAGTCCAAAATAAATAGTATCTTTACTAATCT